TTTTCTTCACGCTTTGGGGAAAAAAAGTTGATATACAACACTATTAGGGTTTTTGTTGTTGTTGTTTTTATAAAATTTGTCAAGATATCACAAAATTACACACACTAAAAAGCTTAATCCACACATTTTCCAATGAAAAAGTGAAAGGAAATAATCTTAAATTTATTACTTGTATATACAATTTCAATCCAAATTTACATTCGCATCATTTTCTTGGATAGCAAAAGGCATGGATCAAACACAGGATTGAGATGTGTCACTTCAGCATATTTATAGGACATTACTTAATATATTGGTACGTGTTCATTTAAATTCATGTAGAACAGGCCACTTAGAAAAGGCTCAATTTTGTATTGGAATTGTATTAACTGTTGGGAAGGCCACTGCTAACACACGCTCCTTCACAATGCAAACATTCGTAATTTGTTCCGTTGAGATTCACAAGACAATGACTGAAGAATTAATGGACCTGTTATAACCTCCGAGATCTCACACAAGTTTAAAACCCCATACGTGGCTGTGCAGTCAGTTAGGACACCTTCATGGATTAAGGCATTTGTGCTAGACATAACTTTTTAACTTTAGAAGTTGACTGAAGTCTTTTCTGCAGTTGACTAACAAAAAGCTGAAATTCTTCTCACCTACCCTTAGAAGAGAGAAGTTACCCACTCGGTTCTTTTTGAGTCTTTAAGAACAAAGTAATGAAGTTAGTAAGAAATAACAGGATATAAACATCCCCGTCTTTCAGCTACAGAAATGGATTTCTATTTGAGTAACTTACATTCAGTGAAATTGTATTTAGACCTGTTTGAAATTATTTAGGCTTAGCTAGCACAATTTAAGCAGAACTTCATTCAGAAATTGCAAACTAAAGCAAAAAAATTTACAAGGAATACTTTGTTTCCCTCCAAACTCATTTTTATTACTTGAAACACGGAGGAAAAAAATAATTAAAAATTATGCCTCTCCTGTTAGAGTACTTCATAATCGTAAGAGAATTCAAGTGAAGACACCGCTCAAGCTGAGAATAATTTGAAGTTTGCTATTTTAACAGCCTGCACAAGCCTGCACAAACTGTAGATACTGTACGTTAATTTAAGACGCTATGAAATCAACAGATCCATTTTCCCCTGTATTTTTCTGTTGCTTGAGTTATTAAGAACCAATACTGAAGGAAGTATCTGCAAAGCTATCCCAGTTATGTCCACTCAAACTCCGTACTTCAAACACTAACTATGGAGACCCTGAAAAAAACAGAAACTATGTCTTTAAATAGAATCGAGAAATGCAGTCTCATAGATAGCTGCACGTTCTCGAGTGTGCTTTTGCACAAAAACATACTTTTTAATAGATAGATTCAAGAGCAAACCAATCACATAGATCCTTCCTTTACATTTAAAACTCTACATATAACTTAATCTTTTTTGCTTTGGTAAAATACGAATAATGGGAAGATCCGGGTAAAGAAAGCACAGTAAATAACATGGGTATGTCATACCTTTTTTAAGAAATATGAGCTGAAATGTAAGGCATCCCCCAAAGTATTTTTTGCATATGCAAGGAATGCAGTTCTTTGTAAACAAAAGCTTGAGGAAAGCAATACTGAAGCCAAAGAATCTTCCCTAGGATCCTTCCGATGATCCCAAAACCAAGAGCAACTCTCCTAGGGTAAGTGTTTTGGAACTAAATCCTGTAAAAAAGAGAATCCACTCCTTTGTCTTCCCATACGTTTTTAATCATGTATTAGATTGGCTCGCCTTGAAGATGTCCAGATTAAGAGTGACATAAAGTTGATTCTCAAGGGCGCAAGCTCATCGTAAGTCTATTTTTCTGGTACATCACTTTCTATAGATTTTGTGGCAGCGTTGTTATGGCCTCCGGACGCTTGCACAGCATTCCCACTGGTAACGTTTCCCAGGGCCTGGGACTGACAGGCAGCCGTGCGTTTAGTGGCAAGAAGTGTTTTAGAAGAATTGGACTGATGTCTGTGATGACCTGAATCCTCACCTGTTGCAGCAACTGGTCTGTTTCTGCCAGATTCTTCACTAATAGGAGGCTGAAAATAAACATTGGCAACCTGTTAAATGTTTTTCTGTAAGGCCAGATATTTGCCTTTTCGTACACTTAAAGGAGCAAAAAAGACAGAGCATTCCATAATTAGGCCTAGTAATCTTAGTTATTCACAGCTCACTGATGATATTTCTAAAGCTTTCCTGGCCGTTTAGCTAGAAGTGCAAGTGCATGACATAGTAAGGACTTGAAACAGTCTTACAGCATTAGTTAATCGTCGCTGCTCAAATGTTTGCCACAACTCCCAGAAAATGGAGGATCAGAGGGGACAATGGTAGTGTAGTGCACCATAACCCAGTTACGAAAGGCACAGCAGCACTATACTCTGGAGTCACACAGTTTCAGAATTCAGCGTTCTACAGGAAGGATACGTTGAATTTGGCATAGAAAGTCTCGGCAAGGACAATGCCTGTCGCAGTTCATTAAGAAAAGCCAGTTGGGCATTAATTCATTTGCCAAATTCTTAAATGGTATAGAAGTCCTCGGTCTTACCAGGCGACACCACAGTTATTTTTTGCTATTTATTTCATTACACAATGAAAACGGATCAACGCTTTTTACAGTTTAGCCACCACACCTCAGCACCGTACTTTGGTTCAAAAAAGAATATCTAGAATAAAACTGCGTTTTTAATTTTGCTTTAATTTTTTTAATCATGCTTTTTCTAGTCATCGACAGGATTTGTAAAGCTGCCGTTCTGTGAAATGAAGTACCATTCTCAGCTTACCTTGCAGTAAAAATATTCGTACACCAAATATTTATTTAAAGTAGATATGGAAACTTACATCCACTCTGAAGTCCTCCAGTCTCTTAAATTTACTAAGGTATTCTTGCAGTTTGGGGTCAATGGCTGGAGTCTTGTGCTGAGAGTATTTTAGATAAGCCCAAAATTTTTCCAGTCCATATAGCTGACCTAATAATGGAAAAAGATAATTTTACCGATTTACAAAGGTCAGACTTAATTGAAAACTTAAGTTATTCACTGGTAACTATATGTTTAAAAGAACTGTAAGATACAAGGAACATGAACAAAAGCTGCTCTTGCGTTAGTTAACAAGTCGGTGCCAATGAATTGGGATTCTCTCCCAACTAAAGTTACCCCGGTGTGAGCAGTGACTGGCCTACGATAATTACCAGCTTCATAGTCTCTCTTTGTTTCTTCTTGGAAATCCTTGAATATTTCTGGCCTGAATTTCTTTTCTAGGCCATAGCTGTAAAATCTAAACAAGCATTCCAATCCATACCTGTAACAGAACAGAGAGGTACAAAAATCTTATACATACGGTCCTCATTCCTCAGAAGGATGCAAGGTTTCAGTCTCTCCTTGCATTTAAGTAAATGCCATAGTCTCATTTTACCCTTCTCATAAAAACCACTTCCTTTTCACATCAATTTTTATATTGTTCCAAAACATCTTCACAAATAATCAAAACTGACTCAGGAAAACCAGGTTTGTCCCACGGTTTCAACTTAGGAACTACAGACACTATACACACATACAAAATGGGGACAAACACTTTGATGTCTTCAGCATGTTTGTACACACAAACAGTTTCAACATAAAACCAACCACAGCGGGTCGGACCCACAGTCAGCCTAACCCACCACCCGTGCAAAACCCGATGTGCAGGGCAGGACTCGGTGTTCTTTCAGCTCCTGCACAGCCCAGCGCCAGGGCTTCTGTCTCAGTATTTAGTCACGCTCTGGCTTTGGCTGCCACGCCGGCACCAGAGCTGCCTCGGGCCTCTAGATAGCTGGGACCTCTCTTCCGATGTGCAGGGCAGGACTCGGTGTTCTTTCAGCTCCTGCACAGCCCAGCGCCAGGGCTTCTGTCTCAGTATTTAGTCACGCTCTGGCTTTGGCTGCCACGCCGGCACCAGAGCTGCCTCGGGCCTCTAGATAGCTGGGACCTCTCTTCCGTTCTGCATCCACCTGCTGCCACCTTAGTTCCCTTAAGAGCCTTTTGAAGTTTCTCCTGGTAAATGTATCCTTGGATAATCACAGAGCATCAAGAAAGCTCAGAGCAGAGACAGAAGGTATTATTAAAGCCACCTTTGCACCCTAGGGACTATCACTCCGCAGTCTCGGACCACATATCCGAACTTCAGGATTTCCGTAGCCAGTACTTCCTCGCTCACCATTCAAAACGCTGGGCTACCTTGTCTCTTTGGCTAAGAGGAACTGGGTGAAAGGAAGGGGATAATATCAAAGAGCTAAAGGGGCAGTGGTAATTTCCTTCTGTGGTCATTTTTCTGGTATTTTTGGAAGGCAAGAAGCAGTTTGAACAAGTTGAATGAGGTTAAGAATGTTTTCACCTATGGAAGGAAGAATCTTTTAAGCGTTAGTAAGTATAGAGCCGACTTGTCACAGTCAACAAATTACCGCATTTTGTAGAATTCAGGACCGATTACAAGTCAGGAAATGCTGCATGTTTAGCTATTTATCTGCAAAGCACAGATACATACAAGCAGATTTTTGGTATTAAAAGAACTTACACAGACTGCTATTTTAAAGATTTACAAAAGGTCATAGCCAATACTAAGAATGTTCACTTCAGATATAAGTAAACTTCACAGCCATTAAAATGAATGGTAAGACCTCAACAGTCTTTAACTTCCAGGAAAAAGCGAATACCTGTAGTGTTCTTTTGCATCGCCTAGAGCAAGTTGTTTGAATTCTTCATACATTTTCTTGTTAAAGTGATCTCTCAGGAAAAAGGACCAGAAAAGACAGCTTTATTTAAAAAAAAAAAAAAAAAGAAAAAAGGAAAAAAAAAAAAAAAAAAAAAAAGGAAAAAAAAGAAAGGGGAAAAAAAAAAAAAGCTATTTTTAATTTTTCATCAGAATATTTTCAAGTACTTTTCCATGAGTAATACACACACAAGATCTTCCAGTAACTTAAGTTTAAATTTGAGGGTAATTGTTTTATTTTTTACCCTTTATTTTTATTTTATGTCAGGGAGTGTAAAGTTACATGGAAAGCAGAGTTCATAAAATAGAAGCATCAAATAAATTTTGCTTTCCTTTCCTAAGAAAAATTAAGGATGAGGAACAACGTGGAGAAAACAGGTATCAGATGACACCTGGTAACTTCTACCTAAATTTGAGGAAGCGCATTTAGTGGCTTACCCATTAGACACCTTCGACGATATTTGTGGTACACCTGTTGAGTAAAGCCATTTTCCTTTAACAGTTCATGAGAGGGATGCTGAAATTTTGGAAGAGAATTTGGGGTACACCCGTAACTTCCTGCTAGCGGAGCTCCTTCTGAAGGCGAAGCGTTGGAACTGCTGAAGGAAAAAAAAACCACACCCGAACTTATTTCTGTCCCATAAACAGTGCTTTTCTACAGAATCAGTTTTCAACCATTCCGATCTACGCAAGAGCTGTCAGCGTAGTACAGTCACCTGACGACCACTACAGTGCATGCCTAGGGTCCCAGTCATCTGTTTTCGGGTGCACCTCAAGAAAATCAGATTCTGTGCTAATGTCAAAAAACAGGCCGTTTTGGATGATGATAATTACAGATGACTGTAATGCCTGATTTTAAATGACCACTTAAAGGCAAAATCACTGAAGTGAACATACTTCAAGTAATATTACTGCTACTAGATCACGGATCAACAAACAACGTTGTGAACATAGTCAGTCTAGCTAGCTTGCTTCCAGATAGTCTTGTATTCTATGTTTTTGTCTTTCTTGATCACTCTTTTCTTGCTTCCACTGTATTTATAAGTTGTCGTTTTATCACAGCCTATTTCTCCGTTAGCAGTGAGAAGTAGTGACGTTGCAAACAGATTTTCTATGACAAAAAAAAAAATTTACCTCACAGAGGAAGTTCTTGGCCTGTGGTCTCTGGAATCCATCACCCAACCAACGTGGCATTCTAAGGGAGGATTTGTACTGTGTCGTGTTTTTCTTTTTCTTGGAGTCTAAGAAAGTAAATGAAGTATTTATTTCCCTAATTTGATTTCACTCATTCTCTCCCTCTTAAAACAAAGTTCTAAAAATTTTATATTCTAACACATTATAAAGTCACAATGTTCCAGCTTCATAAGCTAAAGATTAGTCTTATGTAACAAATTAAAAATCTTTAGACATTACACTTTTTCAGCAAGGACTTTTAAGAAGTGTTACAGAGGAAACTCAAAGCATTTTGTAGAAATAAAGAATGAAGATGGTAAATATTTTGAAGATAAACAATAAAAAAAGTACAAGCGTTTCATTTTTTGCCTTTTCATTCTTGTTAAATCGTACGTAGACAATGAGTTTTATAGGCTTTTTCTGGTTTAAAAAAAAATACTACGTCTTTCCCTTTACCTTTACATCAATGGATTGTGCTTCTTTAACAACAGGGTAGAACCTGGGTGTTTTGTTGGGATCCTGTAGCCTCGGGGTGCGAGGTGTTCGCGGGCTGAAGGCAGGGTGAACACAGGGGGAATCTGGAACTGCTGTTGGCAGCGATCGAGCTATTGCTGCTGTTGGAGGTACTTCAATACTTAAATTATAAGCTAGTGCCTCTGCTAGATCTGTAGGCAGGAAGGAGAAAACATTCGTTTTCAAAAGAAACAGGATTTCAAAGCCTAAGCTCCCCCAGTATCTAATATCTTAAAGGCCTGTTTCATTTCAAGTGAACTACATCATCCCCAAAGGATAATCAAATTAACAAAAGCAGTTGGCGTAGAAGCAGTACAAACCGCTCAAAACTATGAAATAATGTTTCAAGCACGTCTTCGCTAGAAAATTTAAACCCGCTTCTTTCTTACCTGCTTGTTCTTGTGTATCTACGCTAGCAAAGTAATGGAAAATAAACATTGCTGGAAGTGTAACCACATTCTTGCTTTTTGGTGAGGTGGTGGGTTTGGTGAGGTGGTTTTCTTCAACTACTTTAAAGATGCTATTAGCATGTATCCTAGTAAATGTTAATACTACTAACTGTATCAGAAATACCTCAAAAGGTAAGATTTGGACATTGTGACTGCTCAGTAAGGTTATGATACAAGTAGAAAACTCTTCTAATCTCACTTTGTTCTATCCCCATTTCCCATAAAAATACTGGTTTCTAGAAAATGTTTTGCAACATCACTAGCTATTACTTTATGCACTGTAAATGCCAAGTTACACAAAAAGCACCTGGTGTGGGTATATGGTGACAACAAAATAGAACACTGCCTATTGATGCTCATATGTATCCTGAAAAGTACGAGTACCAGCTTCTTCTAATTCAATGGAAACCGCGCTACTGATGAACAAGTTGACAATTTGAAAAATTAGCAAAGACAAAGCCCCTCAGACTGCTGACTGAACCAAAATTAAAATGTTACACAGGCAGAAAGAGTTAAAACACCTGCAAATTTGTTCTTTATTACAGAGATTCTAAAAACAAATACATATTACTTACCTTTCTGTAAGCCTGGAGGTCCTGGAGGAACTTCTTGGGTTGGATCAGCAATTGGTTCTGGTGCAAGATTAACAAATTCTTCCTTACTAATGAGATTTAGCTTCTTAAAGTTCTCAATCTCTTGCTGAATTAGAGAAAGCAAATTGTAAACGCAAAGCATGATAATGGATAGCATCCTGAGAAACAGGTGAATTTCATAAAAGAAAAAACAAGCAGGCCAGAATTGACACACAACTACCCATACACAGCCAGTACAGGTTTCTTTTAAGGAAGATGGAAGGAGTCTCTACCACATGTTGTAAAAAAGTTGCCGTGAACACTGTATATAACCTAACGCAGCTCACACTGCACTAGCTCAAAGAAATAATTACGCCAACAAATGGGCGAATGGAGGCAGGTAAGGCTATCTACATGCAAACTTTCACAGAAATTTAAGAAATAGAAATGACCGAGATCCTGCCCCTTGCCAAGCCCAAAACCATCCTCCTTCTGCAGTAAGTGTGCTGAGGAAGGTCCTAGCGATTTAGGGGAGCAGAAGAGGACCTGCTCCCTTCCCCAGGCTACATCGAAAGAAAAGCCAGTATTTGTAAACAAAGTATTCAGCTTTTTTGTTTGTTTGTTTGATTGGTAGCTTAAACTGCAAAAGGACGGGATTTTCCAAGATGCATGGCAGCATCGCAAACCACTCATGCCCCTACCCAGCTGAAGGGGGGGTGGGGCACGTGTGCATGTGCATGCTGTCTGTGAAAAATCTTGTTTAAACCATTGTCAAGAACATAACAACGACAAAGAAAATATTTTCTCTTGCTGTGTGCTATTTCTCACTGTCCTCTTCCAGTTTGCTGGTTTTCTTGGTCCATTTGCTTTGTAATAAAAACTCCGTATTCTGAATTCTACCTTTATTTCTTGCTCTTATTCTCAACATTCATTTCTATCTTTGTCAGTTCTTTTTTGTACCCACATGCTCCATTTGTCCTTTGAGCTACGTTCCCCCTTCCCCCCACTCCACCTTTGCCCTTATGCACAGATAAAGCTCCTTCCCCTCACCACTTAGTGTCTAGGTAATTTTGTATTTCTGTACACATAATACCTGCTAGTGATACGGTGGGATTGCCTACAGACGTGCCACTCGCTGGGCTCGCTCACACAAAAGAAAGGGTTTCTTAATAAACCAAGAGCAGCAAGTGACAGGACTGCAGCATGCCATGTTGACCTCTGCCTATGCAGTGCTGGAGTTCAACTCATCTGTAATTTTACAGCTGCTTAGTATACTTTAAAAAAAATATATGTATAAATAAATAAGGAAGTAAATGAATAAATAAGTAAAAGTCACAGAGCTGGCAATCTCCTTCCAAAGTTTTGAAAGCCTCAAAGACAGGGGCCCATGTACAGGCTAGGAAATAAAAGAGTTTCTATAATAAAATAAGGTGTGCGATCCAAAGTTCCATTTGCTCACAGAGCTATCATTCTAACAAGCTACAAAGTGAACAGAACCTCGATATAAAACTACCTTAAAATGACCGTATTACCTTCCTCTCATTATCTCACCTCAGAAACATGCCCCCTTCCCCTATGGCAGGGGTTTGCAAATGTTATGAAACAACATATTCATAGAACAAGAAAACACTGAAAAAGTTAAACCACGTCCAAAATGTCAAAAATAGTTCTAAAAAAATATTCATTCAATGTTTTTGGTCAAATCTGTGACAAGAAAAACTTGCTGGTTTTGCTTTCAACTGTTTACAATATTATCAAAACAGAGAATTCAATAGACCTGTAAATTCAACTACTGTCACTTTTCTTTCAAACAAGTGTAGCATTTTGCAATTACGTAGCAGATGGCTGAAATTAATTTTGGAACTGTTTGGACAGGCATGGTTTTCAGGTCAAAAACGAAGAGAGTTACCTTCATCATAGTGTCATTTTCACTCTGCTCCATCCACAAATCCTGTTCATAGTAGTATAAGCCATCATTAATAACTTTAGCAAGTTCTGACGTAATTTTTGCACGGCATACATGGTTGCCAGTACGATCTCCACCAGGATGTTTTCTCATATATGGTGGCGTCTGTGTTACAATCAAAATCTTGTTTACGTCCTGATCATCAAATTCATAATCGGAATCGCTGTCTGACCAATCAGTAAATTTATTCTTCCGTCCTTGAATTTGTTCCATCTCTTCATCAAACAAAAAATCAAGTTCTTCTTGTTCCTCTGGAGGTGGGGGTGGCTGTTGTTGATCTGATATTTGATCAGGTATAGGAACACTTTCCTAAGATGAAAAAGGTGATGCATTTTATGTTTGAATTGGATAGTGATTATCCGAACGGGAGACAAACAGAACATGACAGAACATTTTCAGTAAACAAATGTACGGGAATTAGAAACAATACAGCCACTTTCAGATGTTTATTAAGTAAATTACTGTTCTAAATTCTGCCATAAGCTTTTAGAACAATTCTCAATGCACATTTCAATACATTTTTCAATAATCAACAGGTACAACTGTCCCTCAGCAGAAAAAAAAAAAAAAACAGGATTTCCTTTTCATTTTAGTGAGCTTTGGATCAGGATTTTAAACGCATTTAGTTATTCTAGGTCTGGCAGAGTGAGAAGTACGCACACTACCTCTATTGCATTATCAAGCATCGCATACATTAAAATGTGAAAGATCTTGGTTTACAGCATAATCTGAAAGGTGGCAGGATTTGCATTTGTTTATTTAAGCATAACTTAAAGGTTTTTGACTTTTACCTTTAGTTTGACCGTGGTTGCACGATGCCTCTTCTTCACTTCTATCCAAGGTTCAGAGTCCAAATCAGGCAAACTTGTAGACAATCCTTTCGACATTGTCTGAAAATTACTCGTTTCAGTGTTTTCCTTTGGACTCAACGGGATTCCCATTCTTGGAGAACTTGGTGCAGACTCTAGCAGCGGAAAACAGTAGTTCAGTTCCTGTTGCGGGTTGTTTTGTTAGGGTTTAATTGTTTCACTAGTCTTTCTTTTAACCACAGCTATCATTTTTCTACCTCTCTGGTTAAATATAACACTGATAGAATTTATTTTCATTTTTCGGAGATAGCTTTTCACAGCTCACTCAACATTTTAGGAAAAGATCGATTCTAGCAACTTATTTACATGGAAAGTTTCTAACAGTCTGAGAGAAATTGTGTTATTCAGAAAACAAGAGCAGCGTCATTAGGGACATGTTTTCTCCACACCATCCTCTAGCTCTATGGATGGGTGCCTAACTCAGTCTTCATTCTTCCCATTTAATTCCAGCCAACATTTTAGTAAGAGACTTCCTTGCCAAGGCTTGTCAGCGAACAAACCCTATTAATAATGCGAATGAGATCCCCATCCAAAACCAGGATGCACCAAATAAAGAGTTAACTTTCAGCTGCTACCAAAATGAAGCAGATTTTATGAATAACTTAAGATTACTATTACTACTTCTACTACTAAAGGACTGTAGTCCATCGTACTATATTCTGGAGAAAGGTCACAGCCGTAACACATAAGAGACATTTTTATCTGCTTCACATCAGCCGTGCCAGCCATGTGACTTGGCAACTGCAAGGCTGACAGGCACATCAGCTGAACAAACTGTTACCAAATGTACAACCTCTATTATGAAATCAGTATCAAGAGGCAAACTTCCTAAGCTGGGTAGACAGTCCTAAACTTCTGTTTCCATAAAATAAATCCTTTACCAGTATGTGAGCCAAAAATTTGTCCTGGTACGAATTCTGGACAATTGATGAGCTGAGAGAAGTCAGTCGGTGGCAGACTGCATGGAGGAGGGCCTGGAATTGGCCACTTTTCTGGATCAACCCTTTTTCTTATCCTCTGATCCACAGTTTCAACTTCTGTACTGTCCTTTAGGGCCTGTGTGACAAGCATATTGTAACTTCAAAAACATTACATATCCAGCACCTTCCAAAAAAGAAAAAACCCACAAACTTTGCCATTCATAGCCTCTTTATGAAATCCTTGTCACTGCAAACAGAAATCTTTCTTAACTTCATAGCACTGACTTTAAATGGCAGTACAAAATTAACCCAGCAACTTTCTACGTACATACTTCTGAATTATTTTACCTCCAAAATGAGTGCAGCATTTGTAGTCAGAGCTTGCATCCGACGGAAGCTAGCAATCAATGAGACAGGCAGAAATCCTTGTTGGTCCATCTTTCTCCTCAGAAAGAAGTCTCTTTCCAGATTTTCTGTGCTGAAATAATACTCACTGCAGAAAGAAACATGCAAATATGAGCCTATTATAGGTTAAAGAAAATCCTACAATAGCAACTTAGAGATTCCTTGTTAAAGTCTTCCATTAAAAACAGAGCATACTTTGTCATCAACAAAATCGTTCTTTCAACAGGTGTATCGTTATAAGCAAGACTTACAGAACAGCATGCACGCTCGACATGTTAAGAAAGACTTATGATCCAGTACAGTACACAGGGGGATAAATCAAAGCCTTGTTACATTTGTGTATATGAACTGCATAAGGAAAAACTATGCTCAATTTTTCTTTCACCCATCCCCTCCCTTATTACTTACATGAACAGAAGGAAACAACATTCTCTTAGCCTCCATATAGATGAAGGACAACTACTGCTTACAGACAGGGCATAAGTTATTTCCCACACAGCAGTATCAGTGCACCTTCATCCTGAACTGTATCTTTTCTTTTCCCAGTTTCCAGTACATTAGAAGGCTTAAGTATCCTATCTGAGTGTTGAGGAACATATATATACTCTGAATCATTACTTCAAGCATGCTTATGGGAAGATGAGAAAACAAAAATAGTAATGTTGTATTTGCATGAAACTGTACCAAAAGGCACAACAGTTCATGGAGAAAGGTAAAGTCTAAAAGAAGAGATGATGTTTAGTGGATAAAGAGGGACAAGGACCATTTCAGGAATCTGACAATACCACAGAACAAGAGAGACGAGGGACAAAGAAATGGCAGAAAGACAAATCATCTTAAACAATGAAGCTGCTCTATGAAATGATCAGGGTGTCAAGATGTTTTATACTTAGTGAAGAGAAAAAGTCAGTCATGATCTGTCACACAAAGCAAGGGAACGAGAAAACATCCTATGAAAAAGAATGGAAAAAACCCAATTTAATCATGACGACTAAAATCTAGGCCTTTCAGAGTTTACACATCATACCATGATTTTTCATGTTACATCCAAGGAATACTACTCCTCATCAGGTTCAGGAAAATGTAGGTAGTGAAATACTTAATGGAGAGCAATTAAAATTCTATGACACAAAAATAGAGGTAGTGCAAAAATAAAACAAGAGCATTAAAATGCTGAGGAAAAAAAACCCACATGCAAATGTAAATAAAGTTAATTCTAATTTCAACAAAGTGTAAAATGCTAAGTGTCTCCACTGAAGTTGGGATCAAAGCCAAAGTTACCAAGAGGAGAGGACTCTGATGCCATCATTGACCCAAGGAGAAGCTTGATACCATTTCTTTCTCTAATTTTTGGTAGCTAAAGAAATTCGAAGCAAAAGCTCTCTATGTGAAACACTGAGCTCCAAGACAGAATGAATATAAAGTCTCAAAGTTGGACAATAAGACACACGACAAGGGAAAACATTGCCATTAAATCAGAGCAAACAGAGAAGAGAATAAGGCTTTCAGAGAATTAAGCTCTTACTCAGAGCTAAGTAAACTGATCAGTGAAAGCAACTGTGCACAAAGAGAAGGCTTCTTTCAGGAATATCCTATTTACTGTTCTGAACTGCTGCATTTCTTTCCCGCTCCCAATCTAGAAGATAAGCAAGCACAAAAGCCATATATCAACATTTTGCTAGTGTTACCTTTACAGTCATACAGTAAAGGTAAAATCTTGTAACGATTCACCTAGTTAAAAATTCCACAAGCAGAAATGGACAATGACTGAACTTGACTCAAACTGCCTCACTTGATGTCCATCACTCTAGAAAAAGGAATGTGAAAGACCATTAATGATAAATGAAGACAACGCACAAGTTTGCTTCAAGTAGAGGGACAAACCTAAACACACACACACCCCCTCCAACTTCTCTGTTCTTTTTCATTTTCCTCAGAGTCCCTTTACTTATTCTTGAATTGATGCAGACTTGGATGCATGTCTGAACTTTTGTTTATTTCTTTATTTTTTTAAAGAAAGAGGACTTTAAATAGAGTTCTACTGCATGTTGCAGACTGAGGAGTTGCTAAGCACCAAAACTTTTCAGGCTGACAACTTCAGCCTGTAATTAAAAACATTAAAAGATATTTTTGTATGTAATACAAATATTACTCCCTCTTGTACATCAAGCTGGTTCTTGGGACAAGCACAAACTGCTTGATAGCAGTGTATTTCTTACTGTAATTACACATCAACTCAGTTGGACACAGTCTCTAAGATTTTTCCCTATTAAGCAGGTAAACTGTTTTAAAATTCATCAATTCACTAGGATTCAAACCAATCTCACTTCTCTAATATATCCTGATTTATCTTGGATTCCATAAGGAACTCTGAGACCTAACAGTTCTGTGTAGCTTTATTCTGTATCTACTTCCTTCTTTGGCATAGTCACTTTAGTATTTTGTAACTAAATTATGAAAGGCAGACAAAACCATCCCCACTTAGAAGCTAATAACAAGTAATTGATGAATAAAGTCTGTTTCCCATCATTTTCAATGTGATTAAAAAAAGTGGATAAAAACACCTTTTTTTTTTTTTCAAGGAGCCTAAAAATAGTGAAGTTTTGTTCTAAACCTGCTCAAGAATCTCCCTCTCTCTCATGGAAAGCAAACTCCGTAATCAAACTGCCTTAGGAGTTCATATCAGACAAGCAACCAATGGCTCTGGTTAGCCAGCCATGCCAAGTCTTCTACTGACACCTGCCAACCTCTTGTTGCTAAAATAAAATACAAATATAACCAGAAGTCAGATGTGACCAATGCTGTAACTGACATTTTTCTCAGCAGAGGGGGACATTATCATGTCCTACCTTAGAAGGTCTGGATTCTACACTGCATGCCCAGAAATCTGGCCAACAGTGGAGTGTCTGTGCTCCTCCCTCACTTGTCTGAGGACAGTGCAGGCCGATTATCCTGACATGGGGGTACATGTCCACTGTCAGGTCTCATAGGGGCCTGGCAGCAAGAGTAACAAAAAAGACTGCAATAGAAGTTTTGAAGTTGATAGCCACATGCCAGATACTTTCTGCCCTTAAAGAGGCTTTTTTCTTCCTTTTTGCGTCAACTGTAACAAAAGAAGCAAGAATAAAATAAGCAAGTTGCTTTATGGAATACAAGGGCAATCAAAAACCACCACAAAGGCATCGCAGAGAAATGCCGTTGCAAGTACAGAAGATGAAATGTCTGCCAGTGGTGGAAACTGTCTCTTTAAAATGAACTAGTGGTTTCCAGGCCCTTTTTGACTTGTCTCCTGGTGATAATCAGTCTTCCAGATGGTTTCTCATTGCCTAATGGTGTACACGAGAAAGTAAACATTTCAGATTATTGAAAAATCAAGTATCATTGCAAAACTACTCTCTTTCAGCAGTTAAATGTTTCAGGCGAAACACTGAAAACATAAAACTAACAAGACTTCTCAAAGTGAAATTGAGAGCAAATAAGGGAAACGTCTAGCTACATCACCCAAGAAGAGCTTTACAGGCAAACAGACCAACAGTACTCAAAAGCACAAGCTCAGACACATCCATATCTCAATTACATGACAACATAAAAAGAGGGCTATGTACCATAAATAAAGCAGGTATACAAGTTAGAGCCAGACTACAGCACAAGATGCAGAACAGCTTCCTTAAAATTCCTCCCCATCACTCAAGTTTTTCCACCCCACTAGTAAATCAGTTCAAACTGACACTGGTAATGATCAAAAAGTTAAATTGAAATGCCTTAATCTCCATCTTTATATGGATAATAAGGATTAAACACTGTTTGAAATGAGTTATTTTATCTTAACTAGATCTCTCTAAAAATATTTGTACGTTAAACAATCTACTTACATTTGATGTTTTATATATTCTTTGAGAAGTGCTTCATCCACAGAATACATCTGCACTCCTGTTCCATCACCATAGTAATACATCACACTAGCATTAAGCTCAGGTTGAAATAGTTGGTCAGTTCCTTCACCATACAGTTCTTGATAACCAACTGAATATTCAAAGTTCACTTCAAAATAAAGGAGAACATAAAAGAAAGATAGTGAAAAATATTAAGTCCAGCACACAAATATTTTAAGGCGTGATACACACTGCTATTTTACTATTGGTTTTCAGCATCTGATTTTAAAAAGACTCAAGCTACTTAATTATATTAAAAGTTACGTTTTTTGAGACAACTCTTACTTCATGTGCAAGCCATAACATTATAAACATAGTTTTAAAATTTTTGCTAAGCATCTACTTCTTTGTGTACCTCTAGGGTTTCCTCTGCCTCGTCCTCTCCCTCTGCCTCTACCTCTTCCTCTGCCTCTGGAGAATCCTCGAACACTGCTACCCTCGCTTCTCACGCTGCACACTTCATCATGATCATCTCTCTTTTCTCTATCACGACGCCAATCTTTAAGAGAAAAAAGCAAAATTAAATATCACAGTGCCAAAAAGTCCCTTGTAACATAGAGTTCTCAGCTTGCACCCAGGCAATCCACTGACTCAGTCATGCTGGCTGAAGCAGGAGGTCAGATCTGAAGCTGCAAGGGTGAAACAGTGAGGTTTGCCCAGCCATGCCTGAGGGTGAGTCGGGCAGAAGCTGTTAGCAATAGATTGACTGGCAGTTAAGTCTCAAATGCTTCTGAAGCAACTGGACACTCTGGTGCCAGCTCAGGGATCACAATATCTATGATCGGCTTGGGATGGGAAGGAACGATCATGCAATTCTCCTTTCAGGCATGATAATACAGTCTCCTCCTGTGGACAACTCCCAGTACCTAGAGTGAGCTAGGAAGAGCTGCTAGCTCTTGATGATCCTGCTCCGGGTGGGATTTCCACAGCAATGGCTCTCTGGAGCCTCCCTTTTGTCCCCAGAAGCAGCCATCTACCGCTCCACCCCCCCGACTCTGCCCATTTAACAAGCAACCGTTTATTCTCTGCTGGTCGTGCCCCAAACTGAGCTTTTAAGTTAAGGACCCCTTTCTGATAACACATGCAAATCTAAGACGACTCTGTAAGAATCTATGTAAGGTTTTCTTATAAATACGTGGTCTGCACATAGCAAAAGAGAGCAAGAGAGAAGCAGAAGAAGAAAGGAAAGCAAGCAGGTCCGAACCAGACCCCAGGGACCTTGGCTCCACTCACCACAAAACTTAAGGACAGGTGTAATTCTCACTTTACTCATGAGAGAAAATGAAGCCCTCTCTCACACCATTTCTTTTTCTTTTCCTAACACTCTCAGAGACTTCCGTCTTCAGTCAGTCACCCTTGCTTAAAGTTTCTTTAAGTTGTAGTTGAATAGTCTTCTGGATGCCGGGGGACCTCTTTGGCAGAGGAATGCCTGGGGATACAGCCCCTACTTGATCAAATTGAGAGTTGCTAAATTTAACAAAGGACTGACTAAAGATATGATTCTTTGTTCCTATTAGAAACCTCGTTTTACTAGCAATTATTTTTAATGAACCCTACAACAAAATATGTATGCTCATACGTTGAAGTTCCTGGACTTCCTTTTCTGTCAAATAGGACTCTGAATTTATGAATATCATAATCTGTATGTGCCTCTCTCACTGGGAATTTGGACCTTCGTCTTCACACTCGCTACCCTCAACCTTAGAGATCCCAAATGCGTAGGCATTATTTGAACTATTTCCCCGAATCAGTTTCATTTTTGCACTCAGAGTACACGTGGCTTAGACACATGCAAAAGTCCTACATGTAACACTTTCATGAGCTAGTGTTGTATTTAAGCCTGAAACAAGTTATTTAAACAGCCAATATTCCTGACGTGCAAGAGATGTTTTACGTTCTCTCACACTGAAACTGGTCGTGAATCACTAGAGCCTTGAAGTAGAGTTCATGCTACGAGTTTCCGGTCCTTTGGCCATCCTGAAGAATAACTGCTGAAGAAAGTGGTACACTAGTAAAAACCCTTCCCCTGCCCATCCCTCAAGCATCCAGATCAAACCTTTAACATCCATGTTCCTAAAATGACTTCATAAATCCCATCTCAGTAGCGTCCAGCACTTATTATAATGAGCAAACATTTAAATTGTTAATGTATATTGTGATTTTAAAACTTAAAGGCAAATACATAAACCAAAAAGTTACACTCAGCCTAAGATTTCTGCCATCTGACAAGCTGTATTCAGAACACCTGAGGACCAGAAACAGTGCCAGCTGTAGTGCATTTCTCCCTCTGTTGTGCTAGAACAACTTTTTGCATGGCCAAGCTGAGAAATAGGTCGGGGAACTGAGGGAATCGGTCCAACTTAAAGGAAAAATCAAGATCAGTAGAACTGCCAAAGCAGAGTTCAAAGTGTAGGTCCAGAAGCAATTGCTCTGACAGCAACAAGCTGCAGGAATAGCAGCAAGCAGGACAGAGCAGCCACCTTATGAGACTATTTCCAAACTTTCTGCATCATAAAGCTGTGGCCCAAGACTCTGTAGGGAGCCATGAAGAGAAAAATATATGCTGCTCTGATTCAGAGCACCAGCACACACTGTAAAGATCGACTGTTTCCAAACTCAGTTACTCAGCAGAGTCAGTGATGGAGACATTACAACTCTCATCAATTTGATGAAGAGGTTAAAAAAAAAATCTGACAGTAAGCTTTTAAACAAAACTTTCCAATTTAAAATTTGTTAAACAACAGTACAATTTATTTATTTTTTGCTGCTTATTGGCAAATATTAACACTAGGTTTTACTTAGTATAGGCAAAGTCAAGTTTCAACATAAACTGCCAATCTAATGCCTACTCAGGTGATATTATACTTTATTTGCCACAAATAGAAAGACCCAGAGATTGAAAACTACTTACTCCTTGTCTCATTCCGTCTGTTGTTATGAGGTATTAACTTGTTTGTTTCCAGCAGAAATCTTGAGCTAGTTCGAGAGCCTGGTCTTTCTTTACTGTCTGACCTTACATCATCCAAGTGAAGCGGCACCCATTTCTGCTTGTTACCTTGAAAAGTTAATATACTACTCTTAATCATAGCACTACTTGAGATTTTAGCTCCTGAAAAGATTCTGCAGAATTCTTCTTGTAGAACTAGTAAGCGTTAATTTCAAAGTTTAAAAACTGGGAGAAGCTTAACATTGAAATGTTAAGATACGATGAATGACTGAACAATAATAAATGCAGTAAACAGGAATTTCTCAAACTGAAAGGTAACCTTACCTAAGCTTTAAATGTATGAAATGAAGGTGAGCTTTTTTATTTAATGAATTTTTAAATGTAAGCTCCATTACCAAGAATTTATAGCTATATGTGTTAAATATATACAGTAAATTCATTGCTATATAATTTCACAACTTGCATATGAAACAAAGGTACAAAATAACTTATCAAGTTAATGACTAAAATAAAGATTTCAATCACAAACCATAGAATTTTTCCTGATAATTTAGCTGTGGTACTGTATTTTTACCTTGAGATACTCAGATTAAGTTCATTCATGTGCATCAAAAATTATTAGCAAAGCTGTATTTTGGTTAGTGGGTATTTTAGGCCAGCCTACAACAATTATTTAATGATATTTGCTGTTCTATACTTGATTGGTATTGTGGGCTTCATACCTCCATAGCCAAAAAAAAAAGCAAATACATAAAATGTGTTATCCACACTGGGGGGGGGGAATAGGTTGTACCTGTGGAATGCTTTGCTTTAGATTTCCACTTAGACTGAAAAAATTAAAAGCAATAAAGGATTTGTTTTTAAATATATACATAGGAAGATTAACAAATCTAAACGACAAAGGTCTTTAGGATCTGAAGAAATACCAGAAGGGAAGCAAGAAAAGAAAAAAAAAAAGGCAGCTGATAGCAGCAATATCTTAAAACTCTCTCAGCTGTTTCTCCAGCCTACTCCAGTCTACTGACCAAACGAGATACAGGGTTGCTTCCTATTTCTTATGTAACAGCTTGGATCAAAAGGAAATGAATAACCTGGTTTAGTTTTCACGTGATCACTTCAAGGTGTAGGCTAATAGTAAAACATGAAAATTAAAGTGTTAGTATATATAGTAACAAATACACACACACGAAGTTAAATGAATGTAGTGCTATCTATTTAGGGAAATAAAGACATGAGAGACAGTAATGGTTTGTACAGCCACGTTAAAATTTTCCAGAAATTGTCAGAGCTCCACGGGCCATCAGGAGGACACAAGCTGCTTTTTCCCCAGAATTCCTTTTTGACTAAACAGAACACTCCAACACCTGAGAAAGGAAGCCTGTTTTAAGCCTCCTAGCAGAAAGCAATATATCCGTTATCACCTAGACAATGCAAAACAAAGTTTCATCAAGTCAAGTCATTCAACTGGAATGAATGTAACTGTATCAATGGTGACTTATTGCATTATACATAGTGCCCGGACTGACCTTTTTTCCTTTGGTTATTAGTTTGAGCTTCATCTTCGCTAATATTGTCTCCTGGACCATCTGGCTTTGCCTCCGGGTTGTCCTTGATTCCATTATTGCTTTTTTGATCAGATTTCTCCTCCTTTTCTCTTCTATTTGTTGGCTTCTTACTGTGACTTACACTCTTACACTGCAAGAGATACTGGTAATTATTTCTGGCAGTACAGCTGCTGATAGCAAAAGGTATAAGTTTCCTTTACCTATTAAAATTCCTTTATTATTACCTGTTCTCAACCTCTTCTGTAGGGTGAGTTTTAAGAATCATGTTGTTTTGTAAAGTATCATTTTAAATAGTTCTATTTTCTGCTAACTTGGCAAGACTATAAAAAGAATTTTTAGATTAAGAAAGTTTTTGTTTGTTTGTTTTTTAACTAAAGATGTAGAATTGCAAAGTGCACGACAATCATGTTTCAATACCTCATAATTGAAATTTATTTCATAAGAAAGAAATATTACTCACCAGCACCTACTGTTCAGACTGATTATCTTTAAAAAGTTGTGTTTACAGAATACTGAACAGTAAATCAGAAATTCCCAAGATGCTGTACAATCTCAATAAGCATGCCAAATGTTCACGTAAACTATAAGGAGCCATAGGTCTTAACTCTGATGGTTCTGCTCCACTAAATCAGAATGTGAACCAAAGCCCAGAGGACGTGGAGGTATATGATTACAGATTTATTTTTTCCCCACATTAGAATATGGCATTTACTGGGAACTGTGCGCCTTTGAGTACTGCCAGCATCCTGCAGATCATCACTTCTTGGAAATCCCACAGAATAACAGGTTTCAAAGAAGGCAAACGAACAGCATTTTAGCTAATAGTGGAAAGTTTCATTTTTCCCCGGTATCAGTACGGGCTGGGGGATGAAGGGATTGAGAGCAGCCCTGCCGAGAAGGACTTGGGGGTACTGGTGGATGAAAAGCTGGACGTGAGCCAGCAAGGTGCGCTCGCAGACTAGAAGGCCAACCGTATCCTGGGCTGCATCAAAAGGAGCGTGGCCAGCAGGTCGAGGGAGGGGATTCTGCCCCTCTGCTCTGCTCTGGTGAGACCCCACCTGGAGTACTGCGTCCAGCTCTGGAGCCCTCAGCACAGGAAAGACATGGACGTGTTGGAGCAGGTCCAGAGGAGGGCCACGAAAATGACCAGGGGGATGGAACACGCCTCCTATGAAGAAAGGCTGAGAGAGCTGGGGTTGTTCAGCCTGGAGAGGAGAAGGCTTCGGGGAGACCTTATTGCAGCCTGCCAGTACTTAAAGGGGGCTTATAAGAACGATGGTGCCAGACTTTTTAGCAGGGCCTGTTGCAACAGGACAAGGGGGAATGGTTTTAAACTAAAAGAAGGTAGATTTAGACTAGATATAAGGAAGAAGTTTTTTATGCTGAGGGTGGTGAAACACTGGCACAGGTTGCCCAGAGAGGTGGTGGATGCCCCATGCCTGGAAACATTCAAGGTCAGGTTGGAGGGGGCTCTGAGCAACCTGATCTAGTTGAAGATGTCCCTGCCCACGGCAGGGGGGTTGGACTAGATGACCTTTAGAGGTCCCTTCCAACCCAAACTGTTCTATGATTCGATATCTACCTGCAAAATTAAGCATCGCAGACATTTCTGCCAAACAGAAAGAATACTCCTATGTTGTGGAGATACCTTTGAACCTGCTCAAGTACATACAGTAGATACTGCAGTACTATGCCATAATTAACTTGAAAGCAAAACCTTCCCTTAGACAAATCTATTGAGATTAAATACAAACTAAATGCTATTTGGTTTAACAGACACTACATGAATTTGTGTACTAAAATTCTCACATACTTAAGTCAGCAAAAGGTTAATTAACATCTGTGCAATACAATCTAGACCATCTGGTAAACCGAAAAATTAAAAAAAAACCTCTTAAAGCAGACTATTTCAGACAGAAAACATCAAATGTGTATATTCTTATGAAACACTACATACGTACCTCTCAGCCACTCTGATTAGTACTGTACAGACATCATTAATCATACCAAAATTTGACATAATAACCAAGCAGATTCTAAAGACCTACAGTACTAAAGAGAATGCACAAGATACGGGTGCATGTTTTCTTAAGTCACTAAAACCGGTATTTCCAAAAACAGAAAAAAAGATGCTAAAATAAGCATATTCTAGACTTACGTCACAAATCAACACTGGCATTTACAAATATTATTAAAGGATACAAAATTTAATCCTTTCAATGCTATTCAGTCTCTCAGATCTAAGCTCAGCAGACCCTCTCCTTTTCTGAGCATCAGAACATGATAGACAATATCATTATTTTTTGGACACAGAGTTTCTCTGCGCTGTATCTCATGTGTTACAACAGTAGTCTCTGAAAAGTTACAAACAAAAAGTATTGCATAGTGGAACCGATCACGCAATCTTCAAGAACAGCATTTTTGAGTTATTAGACTGTAGCAAACAAAGAGGCTGTGCATCTGAGTTATAAAAAGCACAAGTGAAATTATTTCTAATCTTATGAGTAACTAAGGAAGGAGTTTGATGCACAGCTGGGAGTTATACACTTCTAATGCCACCAGATAAACTAGCAGCTTTAGGATGCAAGTCATGCATCCTTCATGATATTGTTAAATATATCTCCACTCTCTCCTGAAGTGGTAGTCTCTTCCATTCACATCATCTCAGCAACTGACAGGAATATTGATGATGGAGAAGCTTATAAATACTTAAAAAAAAGTCAAATTACAGATCTTGTATAAATCCTAAACCACGATGGGATGTATGCACACACTGAAGTATTCTAACTGGTATGTGAGCAACTGAAGAAACATTAATTTATTGGCATATAATCTATTCAGGTTTGAAAGATTCTTCTAGCAATCTCAAAGATTTTTGTCTGAGATCCTGTAGAACAAGCTACTGGAGGAGGCAAATTCTACCTAGCAGTAAACAATGTTGTGTCAAATCTACAGCCATCTACAATTTTGACCTGCAATGCTAAAAGCCTGGTTAGACACCTGAAAATGTTTTGTTGCTGACATAAACAACAAAGTTATGACAATCAGTTGAGGGAGAAGGAAGGGTGTTAGAAACTGAGCCAGCGGGACAAATGATTCATGCCAAACTACCTTAATACTCTTTCAGTTTTCATTTGCACACTTTCAATTATACAATGCACATTGTTGAACCCAAATCTTCTGGTTTCCCTCACCAAGAAAACAGTAAAAGCATCACAGGGGTGCTGCAGAGCTAAAGCAAAGAGTGAAATGGCACCTCAGAGCTTGCAATAACCTGTGCTCTGTTCTTGTTTTAAATAGCGTAAGAGAGGTGTAAGATACATTATGCACTTACCACTTGAGATAAAGTGAAAGGAAGATAATTTGACAGAATAGATGCTAACTAAAGATCTAGCAAGGGAAAAATATATCAGAGGAATAGGGCAAGGATAACTAAGTTGTCCTAAGACAACCTGCACAAAGCATTCTGAGCCACAAAGGAAGGCAGCATGTTCACCACCACAAAGGCCTTCTCATCTGTGCGTAAACTTTCCCATGAGTAGAAAAGGGAAATACAGGTCTTAAAATGGCGGAGTCAATATGGCACATTTTTAGCTACATGTCCATGGCATACCACTAATGATAAATGGAGTGTATGCATGTGGGCTTGTGAAGGGTTCAGAAATTCCAGTACCAGTGCAGACAGTTAAGCACAGAGCAGTATCCCGAATTGTTGACAAAATCTCTGTTGAAACCCTGTAACACCCAAAGCGCATTCTGGGGGGAACAGTATTAAGCAGAGAAGTCAATATGTTTTTTTAAAAAAATAATACTGAAGGTAACAAAGGATACTTACTTCATTGTTTGCTATTTCGCTTGGTGTTGGCCAGTTTGTGATATCACCAAAATCACCAGCCTGCAAAGATGACAAACAGTTTATACTGCTTCCTAGATTTAGTCCTTTTCAATACATGGAAGATGTCAGTCATGACTCAGATGGCCAGACTACCCCTTTGAGCAGAATTGTTAGAAGTAGCAATTTTTAAAAACTGAGAAATACAACAGAAAACAAACACACAACTTTTGAAAACAGAATATGATCAATTGTAGAAACTCCTCTTCATTGCAGTTACATCCAAATCAAGGTCCAAAACATCTTAGCTTGTAATTAGTATAACTGTCTAAAGAATGCCTTCTTGAAGAATATTTTAAGTGGGCACAGACAAAAAAAGATAGCAAGCAAGCAAGATTTTCTACATTCTATTATAAAACAAACTAAAAGGGCTTATGACTTTTGAGCACACATAAAACAATTGTCAGATTAAATGTTGTCTTACACATAGCTTCCTATGTGATTTAAAGGTATCTACTGCTTAAAAGTCTTTGAGCTTTTGGAATACCTTTGAGCGCAGGTATTATTCAACCTAAAAAGGGGTGGCCGTACAAAATTTTAGAAAGAAACTTAACTTTTCAGTAGAAGGATTCAGTGTCTCCTGTTGTCATAACGATAATTTTATAACAGCACATAAAGACACACATCACAATATGCAAAAAGGATTTCCAAAACCAATCTAGCATCGCTTGTGCTCAAGTGATGTTGTTTCTTTGCATCCCCTTCACATTTTTATATAATCCCACTGTTTTTTTAAACGAAAGTGCCTTCCCTTATCCCTCATACATATGCCACTTTAGCATCCCTTCTAATTTTAAGTTTCCCTTCCTTTTTTACTTTTCTCTGTCTTCAAAATTAACCATTACCAAGGCAGAACATAACACTTCTGGTTGTAACTTCAAAATACCGTGCTATCTTTTTATTTTAGTAATATCAGCTATTTACCATATTGGATACTTACAGCCAGAAATACTCCTTTGAAATTATTTCATTTTCCTACCATATTATCTGCCGAGTTAAATGCCAGTTTAGATTAACAGGTTAGATTAACTGGGACTTCTAACACAATCAGTCCAGTAACTCAGAGCTAAACGTCCTTCTGGCAAATACAAACCTTGCTGCATTTCCTTGTCCTGGGCTTCGCTGCTTTTATAACTTTAGTAGAATTTTGTAGTTCTGAAAAGGAAGAAAAAAATTTTCAGGTGAAGAATTAAGACTGCACTTTAAAAGAGTATCGAAGGTATACTTAACAACTCTGTTTAACTATCTATCATACTACACCAAAGTTTTTTGGAGGCCTTGGTATTAAAGTCAATGAACATTTCCGTAAAGTAACTAATAGTACATGACATTTAAAAACTCACATTAATAATGTGTAAATAATCTTGAAAAACCAGGTGTATGGGATACTGTATAATACAGTATTTAAGCATTTGCTCAGCTATAAGGTCAAGACTATCTCAAAACGCTGGGGTTTTAACCTAAGAAGCAGCAAAGAAAATGAGCCCCTGAGACACATTAAAAAAGTTATCCTATTAGAAAAGTTATCCTATATCCTAAAAGTTATATTATCCTATATTTATAAGACAGAATTAATTTATGAAATCTATCGTTATGCAAGCATGAAAAAACATAGAAGCAATTACATATTCACAAACTCCTAGTAAGTTCCTTTTATAAGCAATTACTTAAATGCCAAATAAAATTTAGCCATATTGCTCATAATCAAGCCAAAGCAATGAAAAAAAAAATAAGGAAAGGTAAAAAGAGAAAATTACTATAAAAACTACATTAAGACTAATAAATTTTAACGCCCAAATTCCACAATGGATATGTTTATGATAAATATGAGCATTTGCAATGAAGCTGACACTCATACATTTTCAGAACCATCCTGAGTCAAGACCTAAACTTTATAATAATGATCCCATCTGATCTCCTGAGCAAAAGACTTACTTCTACCAGTAATATTTGCCAGGAATTAATATAATTCTTGGAAATAACACTCTCTCTCGTATATGGCAACATTATTGGGCCTAACAATCTAGGATCAATAACCTACATTAAAAAAAAAACCCAGCCTATTTAAACTTACTACGTCTTTTAATACATGTGCAATTACCCTTCTGCATATGAATCCGATTTTCTTATTCTGTGCAATTTTTCCCTACCCATCTCAACTGTGTTCTACTTTTTGCATTGGGAATTCAGAGGAAAAAAAAAAAAAACACTAGTATGAGGCAACTTTTCTTGGAGATTAGAATTGAGACAGAGGAAACCACCTCTTAACTTCCCCTATTAAACCCTGGTTCTGTTCTCCCAACGTGTATTTTCCCATAGAGGTGTGGTCACAACCTTTCCTTGAAACTTCTTATTCAGTATTTTATCGCAAGACAAGGTTGAAACATTGAACATGACTGAAATCACTAGTGGATTATTATTTCATACAGGGATAACATCACCTCCTCAACCCTTATCTCTCTCACATCCAGTGACTAATCTCCCTTATCGCAGCTTCACACTGGGAACCCCACCCTCGTGCCCCAGTGACTCTGAAAACCCTCTCTGCTTCCTGGAATATACTGTGAACGTTAGAAGCATAAACTAATTTATACTCCACATTCCACTGTAAATTATATTAATACTGCTATATACAACTTGCATATCACTCAAAACGTGAATTCAGTGAATCCTGATCGGCCTTTGACCTTTGCCACACCATTCACCAGCAGGTTTTTTTCCCCTCTCCTACAGATCTGCTTTTTAAAACAAAGACAAAACACACACCCCCAAACTGCCTCTTTCTTGTTATTCAGCTTCCATTAACTTCAGACCGAGAGCTTTCAGAAACACGCAGTGACCGTGTAATCCTAATTTTTACTTGTCATTCAATAGTAAGCTAATTGCCCTTTACAAAACAAGACAAACAGCTGTAGAGGGGGAGTAGCAAACAAATTTGTAATTTTCTCCAACAAAACTGCCAATTATCTGTAAAGGTAAACTGACTGGCCATAGCATTTGTCCTCCAGTAGTCTGTAAACACACATCTCTCTCTAGCAGTTCAATTACCTTACTGAAGCCATTTTTCCATCTCACAGCACTTTTACTTAAATTGCTGCTGAAGAACTGCTCTGCCAGAACTTCTACTCTGTGTGTCACCAGGGCGTAACAAGGGATTCAAAAATAAAAGACTCAATGTCGCTGCGCTATCTTAGTCATGGGATATTGTTCCAGGCGGCAGGAAAGGCTATCTGAATCGAGTAGAATGAGACCCAACTTGTTTTAAGGAATCTCTCTTATCTTTATGTAGTAATCCAAGACTTGGAAGATGCATTTGCACACTAAATGAAAAGAAAATTAATATTGGGCAACACAGCACCTAGCTGATGATGCCCTTTCTGAACTCAAAGGCCCAAGATCTCACCGCACTCTGTACTTTCCTACCCGAAAACAACTCCACAGAGTTTCTTGTCCTCCCAGAAGAGCCGTGCTCAAAACCAAATTTAACTGATCTTTCCCAACCGGCTTTCTGGGGCTTATCGCGTGGGAGTTGGATTTTAGTGTGAAGCATGAAAGGGAAGATAAAGGGGAAGGGGGGGGGAGGGGGAAGATGGTAGAATAAAAGAACAAAACATCAGATCACGTAAAGGTTTTACCCAGGTCACATCTGTTACGTTGTTATGAACAGGCCTAGAGCCACTGTTCAGGCAAAACTTACTCCAGAGTGCGTTTAGATAAAAGCTCTATGTTTAACATTACTCTGGTGTTTGGTTTCAACATCATGTAACAGTGCTGGATACCCAGAAATGGCATCTTTAGTACATTGCTTCAGCAGAACCCAACAAGCCCTTGCAAATAAACTATTTCACTTATTGTTAATGCCAACCTAACTGTATTGAAATGGTTTATTCAGTCATACGCTACAAGGTAACCTGTTTAGTAATGGCATGCTGTGTTGATAAAAGAATTCAGTTATCTTCAATTACTTTACTTGCTGGGTTTCAGCTGAGTTTTGAGGGGGCGGGGAAAAAAATAAAATCCAGGATGAGGAAGTTTAATTGCCAATGATCATCTTTCAGTCACTGAACTCCATCCAGTAAAGATGCCATCCACATGAAAACAGAAATCAGCCTTCAAAGCCATTTTTATTATGGTTCTTCCAAGTCTCATAATACACCGCATTCTAACACAAGATATTTTCTGCAGGAAGACATAGATGTGCAAACATGCCACGTGCAGTATGTCAAGATACACGGGATGACAGTTCTGAAAAATGAAAGATGAATTTTGGAACCACCAAAACAGCAGCAATCCTCTGGGACAATGGCAACAGAAAAGGAAAAGCAGACTAGATGCTGTGCACAGATAAGAGAAGCAAAGTTTGTACATAAAGATGTATCACCAAAGTACCACTGGTTAGAAGACAAATTACATCTTCAGTAGTAGTACGTCAGAATGGATGAAGTTCTGCAAATAACTAGTCAGCAAGTAATTTTTTCTGATAGAAGGGGAGGGATGATATTGCCAATTTCTTCTGAAAGCAAAGTCTGTTAGTAAAAGGTGGAACACATCCTAATTTTGATACAAACGTGGTTTATGCTGCAAGGATTTCTAGGCAATATTCAGGTTTTATTTTTACTTGGACTGCACATGTATTTCCTTCAGTGAAGCAACAACATCGCATAAATACCAGAAGTGCTTCAGGAGGCAGCTGAAATCACCCAGCAGAACAGCTCTTCAAAACTTCAGTGGAACGTGTTTGTTGAACTTGTACAACATTTTCCTTTCAATGCTCAGTTTGAAACTTCACGGAATAATCCATTTTTAAACCAGGTAAGCTATACTTAAATCTATTGTTTTAACAGATAAATGTGGAAGTCTTGCAAGTGTGACAGAACAGTCCCTTGGAGTACATCATAATTTTAACTCTAGAGCATGGATTTAGATCCAAGATTCTGGGAAATAAAAAAAAGCAGTAATTATGCTAACATCCTTTCCTACAATAGTTCTAGCATTTTATAGCAAAACTACATTAGATTGACCTTCTCCACGCGATTTGAACAACTAACCAAGGCAGTGAATTATGACACCTGCATCCTTCTACCTATGTACATTCAAAACCAGTCAGTTTTTCAATACAACAAGCAATAAGGGAAAAAAATCCCCAATACATGATTGATTAATCATTATACTATTTATTTTCCTTGCATTTCATTTTTAATCTCAATTTTTTCTCAGCTTCTTCACAGAAAGCTGCAACCTGTGACTCAATTTCTACAAAAGCTTTCATGGTCTAAAGGGAGCACATGCTAGAGCACAGGAAGCCAGTACTGTGTCTTAGACTCTAGGCAGCAGGATGGATTTCTCTCTCATAACAGGTCTCCAGTTTAGAAACAAAAAAAACCCCTACCATACAAAATTACATATGCTTTGTAAAGATATGTTTGTAAAGAATTGTAAGGTTTGTGAAGATAATGTTTTTAATCTTTTCAGGGTTGGGGTAATTGTCAATGTTGTACCTTCTGATCATTCTTAAAATAATTTTTAAAAGCTGCTATTCAAACACTCGGTGAATTCATAAGAACTAAAGATAATATCTGCCTTAGATACACCAAAAAAATTAGATAATAATCAGATCATTTACCCATTTATTAATCAAAAGCTTGCTATTCCTAGTAACACAGTATACCTTTACTAAACTGTACTTTTACAACCTGTTTGCTAACAGACTAAAGCAAATTAATTTATATGATAGCACTACAGCCAACTGGTTCTGCTACCAAAACATCAGTCAGTTGAAAGGTGTTCTTTGATGCCCAGAAACAAACGCAATGAAGAAAGACAAACTGAGCACAATATAAAAGACTGGAGTGTGCAGTTATTTTAATTAACTACATCATTCAAGCACACTAGGAAGCAAACCCACTTCAACCACTTAAGCAGCACAGGTATTTTGCTTCATTGAATACTATCATAAATTTCATGAACAATTTTTGAATAGTTATCTAATGAATCATTAGAGACCCACATCAGCTATACAGATCACATGAAGGCTAGAGAACTTGTCATTCAGATTCCCTTTTGCAAGCTTACAAAAAGGGCAGCACTTTAGGTTTCATCAAACAAAGAGGTGGGAGAACTTTCGTAATAAAATTATTTCAACAACTCCATCCTGG